GGACTCCATCCCAGGACCCCCAGATCATGACCCGAGCCAAAGACAGACAGTTAACTGACTGAGCCACCCAGGCACTCCTCTGCTGGAGTTTTAATTCTGTGATTTTGTTTTTCCTTCTCAAAGGAGGACATGAGTTTCAGGTTGGCCAATCGGAGGACCCCACATTCCTGGATTTATGCATATGACAGGAACAAAGCCAACCAGTAAAGTATTTTCTAGATTGAATGGAAGTGGGAGAGCAGGACACTTCCTACTGTGACCCTTAATGTAGGCTATAAAGGTGACAATGATTTTCTCTGCCATTACATGGAGAGACCCTGCATGAGAATGGAGTTAGCATAGAAAACAGTGGAGCAAGAGAGAAAACAAGACTGTAGCGAAGGACTTCATTTCTTCATCCCACTGTGCCTCTTGGACTTGTTTTCTGTGAGTTAATACAGTTCCTCTTATGTTTAAGTTAATTTGTTTGGTACTTCTGTAAGTTGTAACCAGACAGTCCTACTAGTATAATATTAAAAATATGTCATATTTTTAAAATTTCATTGATTAATATATATGTAAATTCTGGAAAATAATCCATCCTAAGAATATATAATTCCATGACTATAGAATACTATCTCAAATATTAGCTCTTATCGCAATGGTTATTATTGTTTTTATCATATTTATGAACATATCAGACTCAATTTAACTTTTTTTTTTTAAGATTTTATTTATTTATTTGACAGAGAGAGACACAGCGAGAGAGGGAACACAAGCAGGGGGAGTGGGAGAGGGAGAAGCAGGCTTCCTGTGGAGCAGGGAGCCCGATGCGGGGCTCGATCCCAGGACCCTGGGATCATGACCTGAGCCGAAGGCAGACGTTTAACGACTGAGCCACCCAGGCGCCCCCAATTTAACTTTTCCTATAATTTTTGGATATTTATGTTTTCAAATTTCAAATTTTTGTCTCTATTAAATAAAGCTTGCTGTCCATGTTTCCATATAAATTAATAGAATTCTACCTATTAAAACTAGGGGGAAATTATCAGCTTTTTAAAGCTTTGCATTATATTTGCCAACTTTTTCATTCTAATCACAAATGCATGATTGCCCATAATTTTTGGCAATTTGAAAGATACACTTTTAGTTTTTCCTTTTGTGACTGAGGCTATATAACTATTATATGATTGGAATCCACTGATGCCTCATTGTAAGATCTGTTAAAAATCTTGCATTTTAAAAATGATCTACTTTTAAAAGACAACTTAATAATCTCTCTGAAATATGTATTTGTCTACCTAAGGGGCCTATGACTCATGTCAATCTTTTACTTTGGTAAAAATAGTGGTTAAATACAGAGTCCTGATCAGGGACTCAGGACCTGCATCATAGAAGAAGCTCAGGGCCCACAAGTTCTCGCAGGCTCTTCCCTGCCTATAAATCTAAGCTTCCCTAACGCTCCCAAGCAAGTTTCAAAGCACTGAGGAAAAGTAGGACTCAATCAGAGTACACTCATGTTCAAAGCAGCATTATTCACAATAGCCAAAAGGTGAAAGCAATGCATCTCATTTTTTTCCCAAAAACATTTACTGAAAAGGCCTAACACTTTCCCCACTATTTGGGGATGTTTTTTATATCATAAATTACATTTTTATGTATACTAAAGAAGTGCTTCTCAAATTTTCCTGGGCTAAGACTCACCTTGTGCGTTTGTTAACAGTGCGAATGTATGGGCCCGTTCACAGAGATTTTGATTAATGAGGTCTGAGGAAAAACCAAGGAATCTGTAACCCATAGGGAGGTCAAGTGGTTCTGCTGTGAGGCTTCCAGGCAAAAACTTAAGAAACATCCTATGAGCATGTTTCGATGCCATCTGTTCTGTGTTTTCTTCTTCTTCTTCTTTTTTTTTTTTTTTTAAAGATTTTATTTATTTGACAGAGAGACACAGCGAGAGAGGGAACACAAGCAGGGGGAGTGGGAGAGGGAGAAGCAGGCTTCCCACGGAGCAGGGAGCCTGATGCGGGGCTTGATCCCAGGACCGTGGGATCATGACCTGAGCTGAAGGCAGACGCTTAACGCCTGAGCCACCCAGGCGTCCCTGTTCTGTGTTTTCTGTTTCTGTCTCTGTCTGTCTGTCTTGCCCATTTACTGCTCATCTCCATTCGTACCCTCTGCGCCAAGCAACCACTCATCTACTTTCTGTCCTCTCTGTGCTAACTTTTGAACAAGCAGATGAATGCATGGGGGTTGTTTTATCAGATATTAAAATATTTTATAAAAAGAAAATAAGTAAAAGCATATTACTGGCCCAGGAATAGATAAAACTATCATCAAAACACAATAGGTAGTTCAGAAACAGAATTATTTAATATATAAGGTAATTTTTAAATTAGAGGTGAGAGGGGCGCCTGGGTGGTGCAGTCGGCTAAGCGTCGACTCTAAAAAAATTGTTTAAATACATACATACATACATAAGAGGTGAGAGAATGGATTTCATTCCCCAAATAACTGGTACTGGGATTATGAACAAATCATGTGAAAACAAAACCCAGCTCTCACTATACTTCAAAATAAATTCCAGATGGGTCAAAGACTTAAGTTTTTTTAAAAAATCCATAAAAGTCACAAAATGGAATAGAAGCGAAAATGCATATATTTTCGGCTGAGAAAGGATTTTGACAAGCATGAAACTACAAGTTGAATCCATAAATAAAGGATTAAGAAGTTTAAGATATAAGAACCAAGGAGGCGTCCCAGGCAGGGCGTGATGCGTGTCCTCAGCAGGAGCCTGAGCTCTGCTGTCCATGCACCTGCTGTCCTGTTCGCTCCAGCCCAAGACGCCGCAGAGGCTCCAGGCTCTCCTTAATGGCCTGTGTGCTGAGCTCCCTGGACTGTCACAACGGGCTCACTCTCCTGAAGATACTCCCTGGGGGAGTCTGAGGAGAGTGTGTAAGCAGGGACGGGAGGAAGGGCTTCTGAATCTGGTCACACCAAGACTGCCCACTCTTACAACACCGCCAGTTTTTCCTCCCAGTCCGATTCTCTGCTCTCCTGCCTTCACTCTTCCTGTTCTCTCCACTTGCTCACGTGTCCCCCAACATCTGCCTTTCTTTAACCCCTCCATTCTCTGATTTTTTTTCTACTCATGTACACACGGGTTGCATCCAACCTGGAATCAGAGGCTCTCCGTCTGCATCTGCACGTCAGTCCGGGTGTGCGGGTTACGAGTATTAGAGAATCCCTCAGGCTGCCAAGGGCACGGAGGAGTAAGACAACCCAGGACCCTGCTCCTCCAACAGCACAGATAGGCTCCGTGGCACGGCGGTCAATTTCTCACAGCACCCTAGTGGTTCAAAGACAGTTCTAGTTCTGGCCACTTTTGTGATCTCTCTGTTTCTGTTAGTCTCTACTGATAGTTACAAAGACAGCATGGAGAAGGAAGTACACATTAGCCTCAGGAAGGGAAACTAGACTGATGAGGGCCATAGAATTGCAGTGGAGAGCAGAGATGTGGACATTCAGAAAGACTTGTGACCTGGGCTTGAGCCAGGGTTCTGCCGGAGCCAGGGTAAAATTTTAAGCAACCTCCTTTCACAAAGAGATGCTAATTACAATGCAAACAAAAACAATACTAAAAGACAACATGTTTATCAAAGGTTGTTTGGATGATGAAAATGGTTATATATATATATATATATATATAGTGCTTAGCATAGGGCTTGGCACATCACTGCTCATTACGTCAGCCATTATTATTTATTATTTTTATTTTATTTTGGGGTGACCCCAAGAATGTATGTATTTCAGCTGCTCAGACCTGTTTTTCTCCCTTTCCACTCCAAGGTCCTGTGCTCTTAGGGGAAGCCAGTACCCGCCATATTAGGATCTCTCCAGCCCAGACCTGGAAACATCCATTCTCTGAAGCACAGACAAGACAAAGACTGAACGAGGTAAAGAGGCCACAGGCAGAGGTAGGCCTGGAAACCTGCTCTCCAGTGTACCTAAGGTACTTACCTTTCTCTGGGAGGAAAGCCTCCTTGGAGAGTTCATGATTAACAGCCAGATTTGGAATAAAAATGGAAAATGAGGGGTGCCTGGGTGGCTCAGTCGGTAAGTGTCTGCCTTCGGCTCAGGTCCTGATCCCAGGGAAGCCGAAATCAAGAGTCAAATGCTTAACCAACGGAGCCACCCAGGTGCCCCTAAAGTAGTACAATTTTTTAAAAATGTAAGTCATCTCAGTTTTACACATTTGTGTAGGAAAGACACTTGCTCACGTGTATTTAAAGTCCTGGGGGATATTGGTGCAGGCTGCTGTGGGGTGAACAGATAGGGGGACCCACAGAGAGGCCGGAAAGTAAGGACTGAAATTTCTGATGGTGAGGTTACCATAACTGCCGAACAGGCACACAGGGTGGAGGGAGATTAGGGATGTGAAACCTGGTCACAGCAAAACCAGGAAGTCTACCGGAGAGAACAAGATAGGATGAACCCCCCCACCACCACACACACACACACAACAAGGTAAGTGATGCACCTGAGTGGTCAGAGGAGGCTGCACAGTGGACGGAGCAGCTCCCGGCAATGAGGTCGTGGTGAAAGCCGACACACAAAGAAGCAGCAGACGGTGATGCTCTGACCCAAGGTTCCTGGCTTGATCCCTTCTCCCAGGGCAGCTACCGTCAGAGATGAGCCAGAGGACGAGTCCTAAGATGAAGAATCTTCCTCCGGACAGCAGGGGGAGGGGAGGGAGGATGACTTACGGCTCTTTGCAGTGCAAGTTCACAACTCCTAAGAAGGGGACAGACACAACTGTTCCAGAGGGCGGCAGCCCGGGAGCCTCCTCCCCGCCTCTCTCCCCCCACTGCTGTCCTGCCCTCCATCTCTCCTTTGCTCTCTTCCTCATCCTTCCTTGTTTCCTGCTCTCTCCCTTTCTCTCCCTCCTTCCTTCCCCTTCTCCTCCCACGTCCACAGTCCTCTAGACTGACTAGGGGCATGGGAAGGCTACTTTTCAGTCCATGTTTCAGAATATTGAAATATATGCCGAGTTGTCAGTTGGAAAATTGCCCAAAGGCTTAGAGCGCAGAACAGCAATAAGTGCCAGAAATGAACACGTGCTGCTGGGGGGCAGAAGCAGGCACGGTGGCGCAGGGCCCCCATCTCCTTCTCTCTCCTAGTCTCCCCCGCCCCCCGGAGAACATGCCGACTCTGATCTCCGCGCGGCCCCTGGCTCTGCTGCTTCTGCTCCTGCAGCCACTACAATTTAAGATTTTGCATGTCGGTCTCAATAAGTCAGAGGAAGAGATAGAACAGTTTGAAGATTACTTGGAGGAACTGCACAGCTCAGGACCTGCCAAACCTCTGACCAAGCAGGCTTTCCAAAGACGTACGATTATCGATCCTGAAAGACCACTAATTGATCCAGACTACTGTACTGATGAAATGAAGATGAAAAATGTTCACGACAAATTCCGCTGTGTCAGAGAACATTTCTTCCTCCAAACAGCATATGAGGACTTGCAAAAGATCTGTAAAAACATATTTGTGCCTTGTAAGAATGGAGTTAAGAAATGTCACAGGAGCAGGCAACTAGTAGAAGGGGTGTATTGTAATTTAACGAGAGGAGCTAGAATGTCAGACTGTGAATATGAATCTTCTTATAGGAAGGGCCATGTCCTTATCACTTGTCAATGGCAAGAGGATATTCAAGAAATTATTCCTGCTTACGTGAATGATATTATGGTTTTAGATACTGATGTCAAGGGTAATAGCCCCTTCCGCAATGAAGCGTAGTGGCCGTTCTAAAAGAGCATTCCCTAAAAAATCAGGCATCAGAGGATGTCACCTGCCCAAGCTGATTCTTGCAAGTTAAAATCGAGAATGGCCATCTTGATCCCATTCATTTTAATTATCCACCTCCTTCCCTTCTCCTCACACCATGCAAAGGCGACGTGGGCTAAGTTCATCGATGGCCCTCTGAGATGTGGTTGCCAACAGGTCAAGAAATTTAGCGTATTTTGAGTGTGTTATGAGGATGAATGCCTGCAGTGAAGGAAGAGCCAGCTCCCAAGAGGAACGGGAAATGGTAGTCTAGAGTGTGCTCCTGAGCTGCATTCATGTGAATCTCTAATTCAGTAGAACTAATGAAGTGCATTGACCTAGTGAAGTGTATCCGGTATGGCTATGCGGGGTTTCTGGTTTGGAAATACCTTTTTCTGTAACATAATTTGAAGGGAAAAGAAATCAAAGCTCCTCAAGAAATTGTGCAATTCAACTTTCCAGTACTATGTTTCTAGACATTTCACTTGTTCTGTTCTTTCCATACAATGAAATACTCAATGAGAACATGAAGGTGTAGATTCTAATAGGAGACATCTCAGGATAAATACCTAAATATTCAGGATAGCAAGTTCCCCGAAGTACTTTTCAATTGTCCAATGCTGTGCTTGTAGATTCCCACATCTTTGCTTTAGATTAGACATCACTGTTCACAAAACTCCAAACGATTCCTCACTTTCTGGCACAGTCACCTTTATTTACAATTCCTTTCCTCACTTGCCAGTAGATGTGGCTTCGTCTGAGAATACGTCACTTCCAAAAAAGGGTGGAGAATGTGTATGATAAAGGAAATGTGTCTGGGGGTGCCTGGGTGGCTCAGTCGTTAAACGTCTGCCTTCGGCTCAGGTCATGGTCCCAGGGTCCTGGGATCGAGCCCCGCATTGGGCTCCCTGCTCCGCGGGAAGCCTGCTTCTCCCTCTCCCACTCCCCCTGCTTGTGTTCCCTCTCTCACTGTATCTCTCTCTGTCAAATAAATAAAATCTTTAAAAAAAAAAAAAAAAGGAAATCTGTCTGTCCAGTACATGTAATAATTTCTCTCCCTTTGTCTGTGAAATTCCTTAATGTCTTTTAATTATGAGTCTCAATAACTTACAGAAAATGGGATAAGAAGTAGTGAAGGGAGATGGTAGGGAGAGTGTCTATTAATTTTGCACATTGCACTGAAATCCAATCTGTTCATTTCTTCCCCAATCCTTATTCTTGTGGTCAGACTCAGAGCTAAGAGCCTACTTTATCCATCAGTTGATGTAAATAAGGGCCTAGGGCCAAGGACTGCCAGACCCCATTTCAGTGACTGAGGAAAGAACACCAGAAAATCCCCAAACTGCTGTTCACAAGGAAGCTTGGGACTTTTAATTGTAATGTCTGAGTGAATGAGGATCCCATCAAACTTTAGAAACCTCATGACACGCTCTAAAAGGCCACCTTTTATACATCAGCCAAAGAAGTTCTGCACAAAGGCTAGCCTGGGTATGTGCTATGGACCATCTCATCTGGGCCACGCTCATCTCACCTATCTCGGGATTATATAGCACACAATATATTTGTGAGAGTATGATATATTACAGTAAATAAGGCATAAAATAATCATAATATTATCACCTTCTCTCCAGATAAATGGTCAGATCCATACACATTCGAAAACTAGAATCATGGTCCTAGAATAAGGATTATTTACACGGATTGTTCTTTTTATCTAGTTTTGCATAAAAAAATCCAGATCCTGGCATCTATCCACCGGATTACTTAAGATAGATCAAAACTGTAATTTTCAGCTTTACCCATCGTAAGACTTCAAAAGATTTTCATCCAGTCTCCATTACCATTCTCTCTTCAATAATACCAAACTAACAGGATGAATATTGTCCATAACTTCGACTCACATCACAATTTATTCTTTATGTTAGAATCCCAGTAACGCTGATGCAACAGTAATTTTTTTTTTAAAGATTTTATTTATTTTTTGGGCACCTGGGTGGCTCAGTTGGTTAAGCGACTGCCTTCGGCTCAGGTCATGATCCTGGAGTCCCTGGATCGAGTCCCGCATCGGGCTCCCTGCTCGGCAGGGAGTCTGCTTCTCCCTCTGACCCTCCCCCCTCTCATGTACTCGCTCTCTCTCATTCTCTCTCTCAAATAAATAAATAAAATCTTTAAAAAAAAAGATTTTATTTATTTTTTGACAGAGAGAGAGACAGTGAGAGAAGGAACACGAGCAGGGGGAGTGGGAGAGGGAGAAGCAGGCTTCCTGCTGAGCAGGGAGCCCGATGTGGGGCTCAATCCCAGGACCCTGGGATCAGGACCTGAGCCGAAGGCAGACGCTTAACGACTGAGCCACCCAGGTGCCCCACAACAGTAATTTTTTAAAAGTGTGGTAAGATACACATAGCATACAATTTCCCACTTTCGTGTACACTTCAGTGCAGTAAGTGCATTCACACTGTTGTGCAACCATCCCAGCGGCTGTCTCCAGAAATTGTTCACCTTTCAAGATGAAGCACTGTGTGCATTAAACAATAACTCCCCCATTTACCCCTCCCCTCCGCCCCTGGCAACCACCATTCTACCTTCTGTCTTTTATGACTTTGACTACTCTAAATGCCTCAGAGAAATAGAACCATACAGTATCTGTCCTTTCTGTGACTGGCTTATTCCACTTAACATCATGTTTTCAAGGTTCATCCATGTTGTAGCATGTGTCAGAGTTTCCTTCCTTTTTAAGGCTGAATAATATTCCATTGAATGTATATACTACATGGTGTTTATCCATTCATCCATCGATGGACACTTACTTGAGTTGCTTCTACTTTTGGGCTATTGCCAACAATGCTATTATGAATAAGGATGTACAAAGATCTGTTCGAGGTCTCACTTTCTATTCTTTTGGGTCTATGGCCAGAAGTGAAGTTGCTGGGTCATATAGTAATTTTTTTTTTTTTTTTTGAGAAACCACAGCACTCTTTTCCATAACAGCTGCACCATTTTATATTCCACCAGCCATGCACTGGGGCTTCAGTTTGTCTAATTCTCACCAAAACCTGTCAGTTTCTTTTTCTTTTTTTTTAAATAATAGCAATCCTAATGGGTGTGAAGTGGTGATACAACATTCATTTTAAATTTTAATTATTCAGTGAAGGAATGTAGGCAGCAGGATTTGTAAGAGTAAGGAGAAAAAAGTAGACACGGTGTTTGTCTCCTAATCAAACTAAACCCAACCCATCGCTTCTCGGCCTTTTGGCTAAGATCAAAATAAACCCAACTGGTATTCTCCTTTGAAAATGTATGATGTGGGGCGCCTGGGTGGCTCAGTCGGTTGGGCATTTGCCTTCGGCTCAGGTCATGATCCCAGAGTCCTGGGATCGAGCCCCGCATCGGGCTCCCTGCTCAGTGGGGAGCCTGCTTCTCCCTCTCCCTCTGCCGCCCCCCCTGCTTGTGCTCTCTCTGTGTGTCAAATAAATAAAAATAAAATCTTAAAAAAAAAAAAAAAGAAAATGTATGATGTACATTACGTCACTGAATAAGAGCAGAAGAGGATAGTCCAGTAAGCAGAGAGCATGGTCGCTCCATCCCTTCTCTCCTAGCACAACATTCTCAAACGACACAAGGGGAAGTACAGAACTGAAGCTTGCACCTATCCCTGTGTTGCTCCTTACTGAAGAAAACTGAGGACGCCAGGCTGAACCCTATTTGTTTGCCCCCGCGTATTTTCGTGCAAAATTGAATTCATATTTCTCATTGCATTTGGTGCATTCTATGACTTGCATCAAGTATGAGATAAATATTCTACCTGCTTTTCATGGTTAGAAGATTACTAAAGCTAGTAAATATTATCACGTTCCCCTTAAGAGATCAAAGGCGATACCTCCAGTGACATAGGGCCTCTGGACAGTGACTCTAGTCTATCAAAACAAGAAATAAAAGATACTTTATCCAAATGAGATTTTGAATTCAGGAACCCCTTTTCCACAAGACTGGACTCTGAGACTATGTTTTTCAACCACTAGGATATAAACTTCAAGAGAACAAGGGCATTCACGGTGATAATGAGTATATATATAAAAATGTGCCTACTTAACCCTTATTTCAAAATGTCAGTATTTGACATTATTCAATTGTTGAAGATTACCTTCCTGCTCTTATTAAAATATATTCATTATAAGTTAAGTAAAAGCAATTTACCACTTCAATATATGCTCTAATAGTAGTACCAGAGCAGAAGGAAGAACAATAGGTTTTGAGGATTTCTTTTTTTTTTTTTAAGGTTTTATTTATATATTTGACAGAGAGAGACACAGTGAGAGAGGGAACAAACGCAGGGGGAGTGGGAGGGGGAGAAGCAGGCTTTCCGCAGAGCAGGGAGCCCGATGCGGGGCTCGATCCCAGGACCCCGGGATCATGACCTGAGCCGAAGGCAGATGCTTAACGACTGAGCCACCCAGGTGCCCCAGTTTTGAGGATTTCAGGAAGCAAAATATGTTAGGGCTATTGGACTAGAAGCTTGTGAAACAAATATCAAAATAGAGGAATCACTTTTCTTTTTTTTTTTTTTTTTTTTTAGGGTTGTACAGAAAGAGAAGGAGAGAGAGAGAATCTCAAGCAGGCTCTATGCCCAGCATGGAGAGAGGGATCACTTCTAAGAAAGGGATAGACATCAAGAATATGAGCGGAAGAACAGAAGAGTAAGAGAAAGAGTTATTTTTTCCCTACTGGGAATAGAGAGAGAAAATGAAAACAAGGCCTGGACATGAAGAGGTCTCTATACCAGGAATAAAATTTATGTCAGTAAAGGGCAACTTAAAGAGCACTGTTAGCACATGGGAAATCATCGGTGAATGCTATCCAATGTCTGTGTCAGGCAACAACATGGATGGGTCTTGAAACGTTAAGTGAATGGGTCAGACTCAAAAGAACAAATATTGTATGATTTCACTTATACGAGGTGCCTAGAATAATCAGATTCCTAGAGACAATGTAGAATGGTGGGGTAGTTTCTGGATGCGAGGAGTTCCTTCCGCATGCGTGTAAAGATGTGGGAAGGTGCCACCCCT